GAGGGGATGCTGTTGGCAGAGCTGCTCACTAGCGGAACCGGAACCAGGGGCTACCGCACGTGCCTACAGCCTTGACTGCAGTTTGCACACTCCAGCACTAGCTCTGCACCCAGTGGTTATGAACACTCACTTATTAGCCAATCCCACAAACCACAGAGGGCCTGATTTGCAGAGGTGCTGAGCACCCGCAGCACTCATTGACTTCAACAGGGTTTGTGGGTGCGCCGCACATCTAAAAGACAAATCTTCCTGTGCATTACCCTCTTGCTGGGGTGAGAGCTCTCTGCTGAATTATCCATCCTGGGCAGTGATGATTTGCTGATGATCTCCGCAGCAAATTCCCAGGTCAGACAAAACAGGCAGCTTTATAAAGCAGCAGACCTGAGAAGAGCGATTAAAGACTGGAAAGCAGAGACATGATGGAAAATGTTCCCTGCCCTCTACTATCCTCACCTCGTCACACTGTTTCATCTTCTTTCAGGGGACGCCGAGCCCTACCGCTGAACTCTGCAAATAGTTCCTCTGCTCAGGCTTGGTTCAGCAACGGAGAATCAGCCTCGCCTGACAGCATGGAGAGCAGACCGAAGCAGAGACTGAGTCGGACAGAGTTAGTGACTGGAGCTAGCCATCCCAGGGGTAGCAGAGACAGAGCTTCCCACACCATTTCCTTCCACCTTCCACCCATCTGAGCTAGAGCAAATCAAATGACCCACTAGCAGGTGTCCTCACAGTGGGACTTGGGGCAGTTTACAAGGTGTTGCACTTGGTTTGCTCGCCTCTTTGCCCGCTATGCTGATGTCAGCCAGGACACGACCCGTGATGGGCATGTACCATGTGCAGAACAGATGGTCCCAAGCTGGACCGAAGTGTAGAACAGAAGAAGACAAACCTAGGCTAATGGCGTACCAGCCCAAGTGTTGAGTTGGGCATGGGCCCAGGTTGCCCTCTTGGTCATCTGTTCTCATTTTTTTGTTTGTTTTTTATTGATGTCTTACTGGGTAAACTGCATAGTTTGCAGAGGAGTATGGAGTTCACAGGCTGCAGCAATGTACTCCATGTACTAGCAACAGTGATACAGGGCTCATCTCTAGCACCCTACTTGCAAGCGCCAGGAAACACCTTGTTGGTAAAGAAAATCCTTTTCTGGGCAAAGAGATCAGTTTGTTCTCGGAGTCAGCACCCGGGGAAATTCGCTTCAGAAGAAGTCCTGTGGCTTTTTGGGTGTTCAATTTAAAAAAAAAAAAAAATTGACTTGAAAGTTTTTTAAACCAGCCAAAACTGTTCGCTGAATTCAGCAAATAGTTTTGGACCCCCCAAAATGCATTTTGTGGTGAAAAAAAACAGTACTTTTTTTTTTCTTCAATGTGCCCAGCTCTACTGTTCACACAGAACTAAAACCAAATCATGACCAGAACCACATACAGTCTGAAACTCTTCCAATCCATGAGTGGAGTTGTTTCTCTCTAGATCAGCAACTTCTTCCTGCGCAGTTTACTTTTTTGAAGCCAAGTGCAGCTGCTTCAGTCCCAACACCTGAGGGAGCTGCTCAAAGGTTCCCCCCCCCTTCTCAGGTAGGCATTGCCTATTTTTATAAGGGAAACCAGAACTTGGGAAAACTCTTTTGGGTCCCAAGGGATATATTCCGCCTGTTGAAGAGGAATTTGCTCAGCATGTAGAGGAATGAGGAGAAAGAAAACCCCAGCCTATTTTATAAACAATTATAATAAATTCAAACCCGTACAGTATGCCCTCATGTATGTGCGTCCAAGTGTTTCTGCAGGTGTGTGTACAGACTGCAGTGACAGCACACCCCAGCCCAGCCCTCTTTGTCCATAGCTCTTGCAGCCAGCATTTCTGGCTCTCTCAGGCACTTTTGGGCACTGAAAAAAGAATAATACATTCACAGGCTCCAGCAGCCCCAGAGAAGGGTGGCCCTGGAGTGTGTTGTCCTGGATAAAATTGTTCGTTACAATTATTATATCATATATACCCTCACTTTGGATAAAAGTAGTCCCTCAAACAAGTTTCTAGTTGTTCTAAACATTAAATTAGAAGCTTTCATGGTCATTTTATTGTAATCAATTCAAATTAATGAAGCCTCCATGCTGGTCTCAATCACTCAGACATAGCTGTTCGTGACTAAGCATTTAAAAACGCCAATCATGTATTTTTGTTGATGATAAAAAAAATACAGAAAAAGGAAGCAAAGAAAAGTTCACTATCCATACATTTCTACAGCTGACCTCGATAATAAAAAAATTTATTATTGGCATTTTAAAATTCTTGGTGACTAATGTACAGTACTTATTCATGTTAACAAAAAATATATATATATAATGCTTACCCATCAGTGTGATGGATGTCCTTGCTTTTTTATCACACAAATCACTGATGGCAGGGAAAATTGGAGAGAGCTTCAGTCGCAAGTCATTTTCAGCATTTAATCTCTGAGGGTACTCTGTCTCCATCGCCATGAGAGCAGAGAATCCAGTCTCAGAAAGGTATGTTGTGGAGAAGGGCATCAGAAACTTGACAGCTAGTTTTGACAGTTATGGGTAATCTTCCATCCTTTGCACCCAGAAGTCTGCCAAAGGTTTGCATTCAAACTTTAATTCAAGCCCACTGTCACAAGAGAGATCTAAAAGTTTCTCTTGCTCACGCACTGGCCGAGGAGGGATTGGGAGAGACTGAGGTACTTTAAATGGATTGCGTATCCAGGAACTTGCATTGTCCATTTTGGGGAAATATTTTCTAAGTTGTTTGCTAAGTTGTTGCAAATGCTCCATGTCAGCTTTCACACTCTCATGTAACAGCATATTGTCATTTGCTGCAAAAAACTCTTGCAGCGTTGGAAAGGAGTCAATCTCATTTCTCTTTAAGCAGCTATCCCAAAATAGTAGTTTCTTAATCATGGATTCGATTTTGTCTTGTGTTTTGAAAATAGTGGTACTTAAGCCTTGAAGGCCTAAACTGAGCTCGTTGAGGCAAGAAAAAATGTCTGCCCAGTAGGCTAATCGCTGAAGCCAGGCAGTATCTTACAAGCAAGACGACTGTGCAAAGGGGAGGTGATCAGTGAAAAAAACTTGAAGCTTGCTGTGCAGCTCAAAGAGTCGTGTCAGCACTTTGCCGCGCGACAGCCAGTGAACCTCTGTGTGCATTAGTAGCGGCAAATGGTCATTTCCCATTTCATCACACAGGGTAGCAAAAATTCTTGAATTTTGACACTGACCCGTAATGAAGTTAACCATTTTGACAGCATCAGACAACACTGACATTAAGTTTTCAGGCATTTTTTGGGTAGCTAAGGCCTCTCTATTGATGCTGCAGTACACCCATGTGGCTTCTGTTGCTACAGCCTTGAAGCGAACCACAACTCCACTGTGCTTTCCCATCATCGATTTTGCCCCATCAGTAGAAATCCCTACAAGCGAGACCAGTCAATTCTATTCTCACTCATGAAGTTATCAAGCAGCAAAAAAATCTCTTCTTCTGTTGTTTGGGTAGGCAGGGAATGATAAAAGAGAAAGTCTTCATGTATGGTATTTTCATACATATAACGGACATAAACCAAAAGCTTAGCTAGGCTATCTAAATCCGTGGACTTGTCTAATTGCAAAGAATAATAGTCACTGTTTCTAACACGATTCACAAGCTGAGAAAGAACATTTTCAGCCATATCGGCAATGCAGCGTGACACAGTGTCATTGGAGAGGGGTATGGAATCAAGTTTTTCTTCTGCTTTTTCACCGAGCATGCACTTCACCATGGCCTTCATAGCAGGTATAAGGAAATCTTCTGTAATCGTGTGTGGTTCTCCTGTTTTAGCCACTCCGTAACTCATGAAATATGAAGCTCGAAGTGCACTTACATTTTCCATGCAAGAATTCTATGGCAATTTTTTTACTGCTTTTTAACTCTTCCAGTTTGCGATTGAAAAACTGAGCCGGTTTGTCTTTAAATTGATTGTGTTCAGTCTCTAGATGCTGGCGAAGAAGGGACGGTTTAAGACTGTTGTTTGGTAAAACTTCACCGCATAGAACACACTGCGGCTGAGGATATCCAGCGTCCCCAGGCCATGTAAATCCAAGTTCAATGTAGCTCTCATCATGTTTGCATTTTTTTTTACACCCTTTCTGGGTCCTGCTCTGTCACACGCTTCCCAGGTTGAACTTGTAAACCATGCATGGCCTCCTCTGCATTGGCACTGCTACAGCCAACAGTAGTGGTTGAATCAGCTGAAACTGCGGTTGCACTGGGCTCCTGCTGATCCCTGTGTGTCCCAGTCCTGGGCAAACGATCCATGTTTTTTACTGAATTGAAGACTACAAATTCTCAAGTCGGATACCAGAGGTCAGTCCCAGCTTGGGAGAATGAGGCCAGTTAGACAGGACACATGCACCAAGGTGGCTGCAGTTTGAACTGAAAGGAGAATAAAGGTAGATTAGATTGTCAAATCTTCTGTACCAAGGCGCCATGGAAGCAGAGTGGGGGGCATCCTCGAGCCCCCCTCCCTTCACAGGGCGCCCCCCCGCCCGCTTCCCTCACCGCCCCCCCCCGGCTCGCTCCTCTCCCCCCTCCTCTCACCCGCCCCTTCACAGGCCACGGGCGTCTCCTCACCGACCCCTAGGCCGCCCCCCCACAACGCCTACCGGCCCGACCCGCCCCGCCCCCGCTCGCTCCTCGTCCCCTCCCTTCACAGGCCACGGGCGGCCCCCGCTCCCCCCGGCCGTTGCCCACCTCACCTCACCTCACCTCACCTGGCGCGCGCTCCTGCGCGAACCCCCGCTCGAGGCCGCTGCTCTGAGAGACCAGGATTCCCGCCGCTCCTAGAGTCAGAGACGCCGAAGCCGTTAGAAGCCACCTCATTGGTTGAGCTTGCGGTAGAGCTTCCTGCCTCCCCCCATTGGCTGGCAGAACCGAGGCGGTCGCTCCTCACCTGGCCATTGGCCGGTCTTTGACACGCTCGGCGCTGTGATTGGGGGCGCTGCTGTCGTTATAGTGACGTTGGGGGCGGGAAAGGAAGGTTCCCGGAAGTGAGTGTGGAGGAGCTGCCTGCCCAAAGCGCACGTTCCTCGCGCCCCCCAGCGCGGCTGCTCCCCGTCCCGCCGCCATGGCCGAGCCGGGCCCCGCCGCCGGTCTGCTGCTGCTCCCGCTGCTGCTGAGCCCGGCCCTGGCCGGCGGAGCCGACGACACCGAGTGGGTCCGGCTGCCCAGCAAGTGCGAGGGTGAGGCTGGGGGGGAAGTCGGGGTCACTGTGGACCCAAGGATCGGGGGGGGGGGGAGTCGGGGATAATGAGGGATCTGGGGGAGGAGGGTGGGGAAAGTCGGAGGCAATGAGGGGTCTGGGGAGGTCAGGGGGCAATGAGGGGTCTGGGGAGGTCAGGGGGAGGAGGAAGGCTGAGGGATCTGGGGGAGGAGGGTGGGGAATGTCGGGGGCAATGAGGGGGCTGGGGGAGGTCAGGGGGAGGAGGGTGGGTCTGGGGCAGGCAGGGCGAGTGATAGGAGGGAGAAGAGCACTGATCATGGGCCCATGTGGACGCTCTAGAGGAGCGACAAGCAATCTGATAGGGTGAAGGGGTCCATGGTATCCCACGCAGCCCTGGAGGAAAGGAGGACAGCAGTTTCCGTGCTGACAGTTGTGGCTTCTGGCTCTTTCCCCAAGTTTCTCTCACTGCGGTTCATAGAGGCACATTTCCTGTAGTGGGTGGGGAGAAGGCACAGTGAGAAAAGGGAACTGCTACTTCTTGCTCCAGTGGTCATGGCTCACACTGTCAGATGTTTGGGGGGGGTTCTACAATGCAAAGCATTTAAGCAAGAAAGTAAAGGAGAGACCTAAGTATTGGGGGAAATCCCATGCCAATAAAGAGGGTGGTGATTGAGGAGCGGGACAAATAGGAATAATAGATTCTGGGGGGTAAGGGTGGGGGGAAGAGGCAGGCCAAAGTGTGTGGTGGGGGGGG